TGTGTGTATGTTTGGTGTGAACACGTGTGTGTGTGTGTGTATGTTTGGTGTTGGATTCCTGCTCACGACCAATAACAGTGACAGGTTATCTAAACCGGTCCTACGCCTTCCGTAGGTCGACTCAGCCTCAAATGAGCACTTGGTCACGGTGTGTGCGTCAACATCAGCGCTGGGGAGACGAAGGCGGCCGAGCGCGGAGTGTGCCGTGCTCGCTAACAGCACTTGCCCCAACATTCTGTCAAAGGCCACACGGGGGGGGGGGGGGGGGGGGTATTTGTCTTTGTGTGAATGCCCTTGTGTGTGTGTGCTGTGTGTGCGTGAGAACTATATTCAAACCGATGACTTCACCGAGGTCGACTCAGCCTAAGACGAACACCGTTCCCTGTACGCTGTGCCAACATCATCAGCAGCGCACCGACGAGGTCACGGTTAAACCCCGCCATCGTGTGACGCACGCGATGCCTTACTAGGCGCTCGCTAACACCACCAACGCACACCTCTGCCAACAGAACGCAGCAGTCTGCGCGGGTCGCACAGACTGCTGGCATTGTCCCCTTGTGCGCGCCTCGAGTGCCGAATCTCATTGCAAACATTCACACGGAGATCCCCGTTCTCGCTCACGTCCCATTCATTCAATCCGCACCCCCCCCCCTCTCCTCCTCGCCAAGGCGCATCCTCCCTGGAACATCAAATCGCAGCCCCCGCCGTCTAGAGAACCACCAACCTCTCCGTCCTGCCTGCGATCAGGCGGACGGCGAAGGCTGTAACCAGCAAATATTCAAGTGGAAACACAAAAACACACACACAAAAACACAAAAAACACAAAAATCACAAACAACTAAAAAACTGAAAAAAACACCAAAAGCTCCACTGACAATACCGGCAAGTTCCGTCGGTGGCAATGCGCGCGGTCGTGTTTGGGGCTTCTGCGCTGCGCTCCAAAGCTGGCGACCCGAGTTCGAGTCCCGCTCACGGCCAACGCCAGGGACGATTATCTGAGAAGGTCCTGGGTCCCCCCCCCCCCTAGGTCGACTCAGCTTCAAACGAGTGCCTGGTGCGGTGTGTTAACATATCGCCACCAGGGAGACAAAGGCGGCCGGGCGTGGTGTGCAGTGTCGGCCTTCATAGGTGCGCTCGCTAACGGCACTTTCCCCTAACAGTATGTTGAGGCTATACGGGGCATCTTTGTCTTTGTATGCAGGCGTGGTGGTTTGTGCATTGCGAGACAAATTTGACTCCTCCAGTTAAATTCCACGTTACGACTTTGCCTTCATCAGTGCTCGCGTACATCACGACACTCTGCGTGGGCTGTACCTTTGTCTTGATGCCAGCGAGCGATTCAATTCAAGCGTGAACGGACCAGCGCATCACCCGAGCGCCTTTGTCTCCCTCGTAAATTTGCATTCCGGGATCAGAAACATCACAGCGATTCCTCGAGGCGTATAGACAATGAAACGATGGCACGTGATCACAACCATCTCAAGGCGTGTATTGTTTAAGATATCCAATGTATTATTTCTGGGGATCGGCACGGTCGTTCAGATGCGTTATGAAACCGAATTATTGTCGGCCACGCTCAATCCACTGCTGAATAAACGCGTTCCCACGAATGAATTGTTGTGTTTTTCCACACTGCTTTGCCTGTTACTTCGTAGGCGTATAGTTCTTGCATATAATTTAGTGTTTGGAATATGACTAACTATATACATTATTTAAATACTGCAGTTCCAAAAGCGATGCTCACAGGGAGGGGGAGCTCTGTACCACTGACTATGCAACCCCCCCCCACCCTAAGCAGCAAGTGCAGCCGATACCAACTCGAGTGTGTTTGTGTTTGCCTCCGGGCAATGAGTGTTTGTGACCATATTTGTATTTGGTTCTATATGCCCAAACAACAACAACAACCGCCATTCGCCACTAAGTGGCGGTGACGTCACCACGACGCTTGTGCCAGGCTATGTGCACCAAACACACATAAACACACACAGGCAACAACCAGATTATAAGACGCATCACCCCACCCCTCCGACGTTTCCTTAACACGAACCAAGGACGAACACAGCGAGAAGACGGGAATACGCACGTACGCGTGCATGCACACATCCCAAAGTGACCCATGCGCTCAGCCACGGAGCGAGTCGCGACGAAGCGCAGCAGAGGCCATGTGCAGCTGCATGCGTTGTTGCTGTGATGGGGATCATGGTGATGATCGTGATGACGGTTCGTATGTTGAACTTCTTGGGGTTGTTTTGTTTTTATCGTTCGTCGCCCTGGTCAGTGCGAGTTTGTGCAGGCAGGAAGGAGACACGGGAGCGCAGTGGATTTTGCTCCACTGGCTTATGTTGCTCGCATCACGGCCTCCCCCCTCCCCTGCCCCCCACCAGCCTCTCACATCCCTTGGTGATCGCTCATCCAAGCATTAGCCACGCTCAGAGTTGTATGTTGAACTTCTTTCGCACCGTACGTAGCCAACCGTGCTAATCGGAGGTGCGGGGTTAAGACAACAAACTAAACGCAAAAAGCGAATGCGAAACACATTCCTGCGGAGGGAGCTGGTAGGAACGTTGGGTTGCTCGGTCAATGGCCAGGGTCAACGGCGGCGTGGTGTATTCCGCAAATATGCCCGACTGTGAGGGCGGGCACAAGCCGGCGTGAGTAGGTTAAACGTTGAGTTTTATAAGGGCACCACGGGGTGACCAGCCCCTCCCCACCCAGCCCCACCCCTCCCACCCCCCACCCAGCTCCACCCTCTCCACCCAGCCCCACCCTCCCCACCCAGCCCCTCCCCACCCTCCCCACCCAGCCCCTCCCCACCCTCCCCACCCAGCCCCTCCCCACCCTCCCCTCCCCACCCAGCCCCTCCCCACCCTCCCCACCCAGCCCCTCTCCACCCTCCCCTCTCCACCCAGTCCCACCCCTCCCATTTTTGGATGCACGACGGACGGACGGACACAATAATCCCCTGTGGGTTGGTGTAACCAGGAGGTTCCTACCAGTATTACATCCAGCATCATTGAGCGATTTACCAGAAGAGTTATGATGGCCATTGAAGTAATATAACTATAAGCTCCTGGCCATCTCGCCGCGCGAGCCTATAACACCTGGTTATTCCCAGGGCAGTCTCCCATACAAGTGCGAACCTGGCTCAACTGACCTCTTCGTCGTTGCATTTGTTGTGGTTGCACTCTCCATCCTTTGGTTGTCATTCCGACACTAATCTCGTCCGTCGGTCAATCAGCCCTCCGCGCCATGACGCCTCCTGCCCAAACCCCCCCACTTGATTTTTTTTTGCTCAACATTTAAATGTGAAGCCCGCGATGTTTCTTGCCCTCGCCACGTGCCCCTTCGCCTGTCTCTTCGTGTAGAGCGCAGACAGAAAGCCATGCATAATGTATGCGTTGTCTGGTTCACCGGGGCGGACTTGTCACTGCTGTGTCTCCCCCTTGCGGGTGGAAGCCGGTCGCAGGCAGCCAACTGACAACGGCCATCAACATCATCGGCATGAGACATTGCCAGAGTCTCTATACTGCTGTATTATGAAAGCATCGTCAGCCATGGTCTACCCACTGCTGCAATAAAAACAAATATCTATTCGTACATCTACAGACACTTCCCTTCTACGTGACTTTACCGAAAGAACCAAGAAGAACCAAGAAGATGAATCCCTGCAGTCACGAAAGCTTTCAATCGAAATTTAACCGCCTCTACGGGGAGGGATTCCACATAACTTTGAGATCCTTCAACAAGCTCCGTGATAAGAAGGCTTAGCTAATCGAGTCTCTCACCTTTATATATGCTCCAAGCACGTGTGCTGTTTCATTCAGACGCTGTCGCCTCGACAGACCTAGTTTTCACCTGAGGACGGCTGCTTGCGTTGTGGCCGAAACGTCGTGAGAATTGTTTTATTATGTTTTATTTTTATTATTTTATTACTTCCCTTCTACGTGACTTTACCGAAAGAACCAAGAAGATCTACAGACACGTTTGTCTATCCACTGCTGGATGAGGGCCTCCCCACGCCGTGCGGGCAGTGAGGATGCTGTGGAGGGGAGGCCAATCGCCGTTAAGTAAGAGCTTAACTTATTCTTAGGTTTTTCGGTAAAGTCACCGTGTAGGTAAAACATTAAAATTAATAAAAGCTAAATAAAATAAAAATCACGACGTTTCGGAGGCAACACAAGCCTCCGTCTTCAGGTGCCTCCGAAACGTCGTGATTTTTATTTTATTTTATTTATCTTTTATTAATTTTAATGTTTTACCTACACGGTGACTTTACCGAAAAACCCTAAGAATATGAATCACTGCAGTCACGAAAGCTTCAAATCTAGAATTAGAGCTTAACTTATTCACAGCTAGCTTCATATCTAGACTTGACTTCTTAGTCGATATTTCCAGACCGCTACTTTGCTGATTTGGGGTAGGGATGATTGGCGTAAGGCACTACCACTACTATATTTCATGAATTATTTTTGTTAACCTATATTATTCTAGTCATATGAACAGGTTGATATGAGAACAAAATAAGGCGAGGGAGGAGGTGGGAGTGGCTGGGCGAGGTCCTACAGAAGGCGTCGACCAATCGATCACCTTCAAAGACAATGCCATCGATAATTAGCAGAGCGTGGTTTTGTTTTTGCGTGTTCACAGCAAGTCGCTTAATCCCTTGTAAAAAAAAGGTTTCTGTTTGGAGTTCCAACATCTTAGCACCTCCTGTTTTGATCGCCAGAAAGGCTAACAACCTATCACTGTTATTATTATTATTCTGATGTTTTTGTTTCAGCTACGAATATTTTGGGGGGGGCCGCGAAAACCGAACGCTTTCAACTTGACGCCGTTGCCTGCGTATGACGTCACCGCGCACGCACGCACGCGATGACGTCACGGGTCACGCCGTTGTGACGTCACCGCGCACGCACGCACGCACGCGGTGACGTCACGGGGCACGTCGTTGTGACGTCACCGCGCACGCACGCACGCACGCACGCGGTGACGTCACGGGGCATGTCGGTGTGACGTCAGCGCGCGCCCTCGCTTGCCCTTGCAACCAGAACGACGCTCGCTGACCGCGTTGTGCCCAGAATTGTTGTGCTGCTGTTGTTGTTGTTGTGCTGTTGTTGTTGCTGTTTGACAATGGACGGGGGCTCGGGCAACAAGAACTTCGGCCTCTTCGGCGGCGGCGTCTCGGGCCCGCCGGGAGATTACCCGGCCCCCGATGCCGGCATCCAGCTGCCTCGTGAGTTGAGAAGGGAGGCCTAGGCCCAACCACGCCTGCACCACCACGCCGACACCACCACCACCACCACGCCTGCACCACCACCACCACCACGCCTGCACCACCACCACCACCACGCCTGCACCACCACCTCGCCTGCACCACCACCACCACGCCTGCACCACCACCACCACGCCTGCACCACCACCACCACGCCTGCACCACCACCTCGCCTGCACCACCACCACCACCACGCCCGCACCACCACCACCACGCCTGCACCACCACCACCACGCCTGCACCACCACCACCACGCCTGCACCACCACCACGCTGGCACCACCACCACGCCGACACCACCACCACCACGCCGACACCACCACCACCACCACCACCACGCTGACACCACCACCACCACGCCGACACCACCACCACCACCACGCTGACACCACCACCACCACCACCACGCCGACACCACCACCACCACGCTGACACCACCACCACCACGCCGACACCACCACCACCACCACGCTGACACCACCACCACGCCGACACCACCACGCTGACACCACCAACACCACCACCACGCCTGCACCACCACCATCATGACGCTGACACCACCACCACGCCTGCACCACCACCATCATGACGCTGACACCACCACCACCACGCCGACACCACCACCACCACCACGCTGACACCACCACCACGCCTGCACCACCACCATCATGACGCTGACACCACCACCACGCCTGCACCACTACCACGCCGACACCACCACCACGCTGATACCACGACGCCTGCACCATCACCACGCCGACACCACCACTACCACCACGCCGACACCACCACCACCACGTCTCGTTGTTCTTCACAATGGCCTCCTTGGTGGTGTCAGTGAGTAAGGTTGTAGTTTAGTAGGAGGGCTGTGGTGATGTCGTGGTTGGTGGTGGTAGTGGTTGGTAGTGGTGGTGGTTGTGGTGGTAGTGGTTGTGGTGGTGTCGTGGTTAGCGCTTCGCTGCGCTACGAAGCCGGCGACCCGGGTTCGATTCCCGCTCACGGCCAACACCGGTGACGATTATGTGAACCGGTCCAAGGCCTCCCCTAGGTCGACTCAGCCTCAAATGAGTACCCGGTGCGGTGTGTAAACATTGCCACTGGGGAGACAAAGGCGGCTGGGCCTGGCGTTGGCCACCCACCCCCTCGTGTGCCACAGTGCCGGCCTTAATAGGTGCTCGCGAACAGCACTTGCCCCTAAATGATGTTTAAACTATACGGGGGATCTTTGTCTTTTATAAATTCTCCCGACACGTGACTTACTGTACATTGACATGCGTCCGTACAGTTACTAAACATTCAGTGAAGGCGGTATACAATTGTACACGTGTGTATTTGTGTGTATAGCCGCTGAATATTGTATACACACACGTGTATATATACATCAGAGGTGTGGACTCGAGTCATGTGACTTGGACTCGAGTCAGACTCGAGTCATGAATTTGATGACTTCAGACTCGACTTGGACTTGCATAACAATGACTTTGTCCCACCTCTGATATACATACACACACGTGTGTATGTATATATATGTATATATACATACACACACGTGTGTATGTATATATATGTATATATACATATATACATATATATACATACACACACGTGTGTATGTATATATATGTATATATACATACACACACGTGTGTATGTATATATATGTATATATACACGTGTGTGTTACATGTACTGTACATTGACACGTGCGTCAGCGTCTGTGGAGTTTTGTGTAACACGAATGCCGAGTCGGTTGCAGACACCCACTGTGTGTGTGTGTGTAGGTTCACCATACACTGTGTGTGTGTAGGTTCACCATACACGTGTGTGTGTGGGTACATTCACCATACACTGTGTGTGTGTAGGTTCACCATACACGTGTGTGTGTGGGTACATTCACCATACACTGTGTGTGTGGGGAGGTAGATTCACCATACACGTGTGTGTGTGGGTAGGTAGATTCACCATACACTGTGTGTGTGGGGAGGTAGATTCACCATACACTTGTGTGTGTGTGGGTAGGTAGATTCACCATACACTGTGTGTGTGGGGAGGTAGATTCACCATACACTGTGTGTGTGTGGGTACATTCACCATACACTGTGTGTGTGTGGGGAGGTAGATTCACCATACACTGGGTGTGTGGGGAGGTAGATTCACCATAGACTGTGTGTGTGTGTGTGGGTACATTCACCATACACTGTGTGTGTGTGGGTAGGTAGATTCACCATACACTGTGTGTGTGGGGAGGTAGATTCACCATACACTTGTGTGTGTGTGGGTAGGTAGATTCACCATACACTGTGTGTGTGGGGAGGTAGATTCACCATACACTGTGTGTGTGTGGGTAGGTAGATTCACCATACACTGTGTGTGTGGGGAGGTACATTCACCATACACTGTGTGTGTGTGTGTGGTTTGTCTTTATTGGGGTGAGATGGAGTGGTGGGCGCAGTGGTTAGCGCAAAGTTCCATTTCCCGGCCACTGCTGTCGTCAGCGGCGAGTTCGGGCCGAGTCGACCTAGAGGGAGGCCCCAATGACCGCTTCCAACATCACTCGACGCTGATGTTAACAGTGGGGCCCGTAGTGTGAACTTGGGTTGCCCGGTGTAACGCAAGCCACGTGATGACGCTACAACATCATTCAGACAGTCACGGCGCACGCCTGTCAATCAATGTCGTGTCTAAATTTCGATTTAAAGCTTTCGTGACTGCAGGGATTCATATTCTTGGTTCTTTCGATAAAGTCACGTAGAAGGGAAATAATAAAATAATAAAAATAAAACATCTTTTTAAACGTCGTGAGAATTATTTTATGATATTTTATTATTTTATTATTTCCCTTCTACGTGACTTTACCGATAGAACCAAGAAAATGTCGTGTCTGTTGTTTGCTCAAGACAGCCGCCAAACAGACGCCTTGACAATTAACGGTGCTACAATTTGGATACATTTTACCTCGAATATTTTAAGAAAGATGTAACAGTAAAAGCCTTTGCCGTGGGGGTGGGGGGTGTCTGCATTTTGACCACGAGAGGGCGATACACAATCAGTGAAACGAGAGGTTCAAGCGACAGCGATTTCAAAGTTGCGGCAACGTCAAAATGTCACCAAATTCGTACAACATTTACGTCCTCAGATAACCCGTGCGAGATTCCTGGCCACGGCCAACTCGAGCGTGCGTGCAAGTGGTTATCTCGAAACCCAAGTCGTGCCTGACCAGCGCGGCGAAGTATAGTCGGAACGACCCAAATGTTCCTACGACGCCACGTGCAGCCGCCATGGTGGGTGGCCTTCGTCCAGCAAACAAAATGTCTGTAGGTATTCTTCACGTGACCTCTAAAGGGGGGTGGGGAGTAGGCAAGTTCACACTGGGCCCATCTCGTTGGGATGAAAGCTTGCTAATGCCGTGTTGTTCTTTCTGCTCTTTCTCTCCTGTACCTGCAGTGTCTGGAATGAGCCCCCTCTCGCCCTACCTGAACGTGGACCCACGTTACCTCATGCAGGTAAGGGCGTTGTGCGTCACTTATCGGTCGAGTGATCATCTTTTTTTAAGATTTATACTTAGAGTTGTGATCTGTATTGTATTATGATTGCTATTGGGATAAAACATCGAAATGGAATTTTTTGCACTTTTTGTACGCAGCATGGACGGGTGGTGTTTTTTCTGTAGGGTCTTATTGTTTATGTGCGTGATGTTTAGATTTGTGTACAATGAATTTTAGGTGTATCTTGTAATTTTATTGTTTGTTGCGGTTGCACCCATATCAAGAGCCGAATGACTCACAGGGTAAATCATAATTAATGAAACTGAAAAAAACTGAAAAAAACTGATCTGGCCCAAGCCGACTTTTGAGAAATTAATCATTTCACATTTCGCACCTCTGACTAGCACGGTTGGCTACGTACGGTGCGAGAGAAGTTGCACATACGTACTTACATAGCGTTGATTTGCGCCTGTGCAGTGTTTTACGAATGTCTCACGTGACCACAGTTGTTTTTGCGCTGGTTTCTATTTGCTTCATCGCTGCACTTTTTTTTTGCTTTCATCATTTTGGTGACTCTTGCAAATGAGACTCCTATCCTGGTCTCTTGAGCTCTCTCTCACCTGGTTAAATAAAAATCAACCTGAACACTTGATAGCTTTGTATCTCCCATTGTATGGTCTCTTTTTGCAATTGTATTGGAGAGTCCAGCTGATCCGGCATCACTTTGGGAGACAGACCGTTTAGTGCAAGTGCACGCGCGCGTGATTCTTGGTGAGAGCGGTTTTAACCGCGGTAGCCCGTTGTCCGTTGATGCCCGTCCGCTGACCGTGCAATCTTGCGCAGGACCAGGATGAGTTCATCCTTCCCACGGGCGCCAACAAGCAGCGTGGCCGCTTTGAGCTCGCCTTCTTCACCATCGGCAGCGCCTGCCTCACCGGTACCGCTGCACCGATCGTCGGGAATAAAATTGCCACGGCACAGTAGCATGCAATGCTGCGCTATGCGGTCTGGATTCGTCATGGGTGGAAAAAACCCGATTTTTCCAGCGGCAGGCATCGTTTTTTTTTTGAACCAATTAAACTGGATTTCTCGCAATCTCAGATGATCGGGTTTAATATAAAAAGACAATTAAACCCGATTGTAAAAAACCCGACTGTGCCACCCTTGGGATTCGTAGCATCTTAATATATGCATGTCTGTCTGTATGTTGAACTTCTTTTGCACCGTACGTAGCCAACCGTGCTAATCGGGGGTGCGAAGGGAAAGACAACAAACTAAATACAAAAAGCAGTTCTAAAGAAATTAGTTTTCAATCTAGGCGATTTTAAAGTGCATAGCTCCAGTGGCTTCCTAAATATCGTAAGGAAGAGCGTTCCAGACGGCCGCAGAAACGCATCCGACAGCGATGCGGCGACCGTCTTTGTTCGACGGTCAGCCAAAAGCCGCCGCGGAGATGAGCGGAGTTCGCGTGATGTTTTATGTTCCTTGACGAGATCAACAAGATATCGTGGTTCATTTGTGGCAAATTATGCGCAGCTGCGAGATAACACTCCGATGTGTTGCAGTGTTGTTCTGTGTGTTGTTCATCACGACGTCGAGGATTTGCTCCCAAGTGCTGGAATCGGCTTCACACGATTGAATTTAAGTTCCCATTGCGGTGCTGACGTTCCCCGCGAGCGCATTCAAAATTTTTCCCGCACGGTATCCATGCCGCAGCCAAGTGGCGCGGTCCCCACCCGCTGCTGCATTGTGTGGAAGATGATGAGCTCTATATTCTTGGCTCTTTCGGTAAAGTCACGTAGAAGGGAAATAATATAAATATAAAAAATAAAAATTCCTACGACGTTTCGACTGCAACACAAGCAATCATCATCAGGTGTGGTGTTCTTTTTCTTCTAACGTCAAATTTTTTTCAAATGTTCTTGCTGTGGATTTCACACCTGGTGATGATTGCTTGTGTTGCAGTCGAAACGTCGTGAGAATTTTTATTGTTTTATATTTTCATTATTTTATTATTTCCCTTCTACGTGACTTTACCGAAAGAACCAAGAATATGAATCCCTGCAGTCACGAAAGCTTTAAATCAAGATGATGAGCTCTCTTTACGCGTCTAGACCATCAGGTGGCGTGCTGCCCCCATTTTTACGTCAAGCCTCGGGCACGGTTGGTATGGTTATGTAACTCTGTAATTTAAATTCCAGTGAAGCCCTCTTGTCAAGAAACCTGTAACCCTGATTTCACCAGAGAGCACCTGGGGCATGCAGAACAGGACTTGAAGCCGTGGCAATGTGTTTCAATAAGCATACGGTTTCTTGAGTTCTGTGTGTATGTGTGTTTTGCACATATGAATTTGTGCAGGCGCCTCGTTTGGAGCTCTGAATGGTCTGAGGCTTGGCTTTAAAGAAACGCACGGCATGAAATGGGCAAAGCCAAGAAATGTCCAGTAAGTATTTTATTATAACAGCGGTCTTCGTGATGCACGTATCCTGACTCACGCTAACTGCAATGACTTGCGTGTTTTTGCACTCGTAAAAACAAAAGTCATCGTTTTGCTCACAATTCTCAGTTCCTTCTGAGGTTCACACAACACACAAACTGAAAACATCTTGGCTTATGACCCACATCAATTCCATTGGCTCATGGCGCTAGCCAATCACGCTTAGGATTGTAAAATGTACCCCAACAACAAGCGCAATGTTTTGATTGGCTCGCTGAAAGGAAATGTTCGAACCTGCCTGACATGGCAACGTGCTTTCGCAAGTTTTTAAAGTTGGCTTTCGACATTTGCTGATGTTGCATCCCCCCCTCCCCTCCCTTGTCCGTGTGCATGCCAAGTGCATTTGCGGCTCTACACAGACACTTTATGAGTCTCTTTTTGTGCTGTCAATGATAACTGAAAATATAACTCTTTGGTATGGATTCCTGCAGTCACGAAAGCTTCAAATCATAACTGAAAATGATTGGCCATTTTATGTTTTTTTTACATTTGGGATACAGTATTTGTTTAATATTTCAATTAGCATTGTATTTAATGTTCAGTAACGTATTTAATGTCAAGCCACTGCTGGATAAAGGCCTACCACCCAGCTATGTCGATCATGGTTTTTTTTATTGACCTTACTTCACCATGCTGTTAAGTGCAGGTTGCTGATAGTATGCCTCTGGAGCGATTCAGAAGTCGCTCGATACTGATGTTAGCTGTGGCTGGGGATCGAACTCAGATCGATAGAGATCAGAGATAGTGCGCTAACTCTTGAGCCACAGCTCTCAAAAGATTAGCATTATTTATACGCATGATTACATATAGGGGAGTAGTGATGGATCTGTTCGCTTACTAAGCTATGAGCTGATGATCTACAACTACAGCCAACATCAGTGGCAAATTGTATCTGAACCGGTCCTGGGCCACCCCCAACAAGACCGTATAGGTGAGCGTGGTGAAGTATGGTGGAAAAAAAACCTCCCATAACAATCGCATCCAGTAGTGGCTTGAAAAATGGTCCTGAGTTATCATTTATGACATTGTTATGCATTTAACTGACATTCAAGTGTTGTGTTTATCATCCAAACTATTTTAAGCGACTATCAAAAACACACACATTGTATCGTGTCTTTTGCTTGCACAGATGTTTATTATTATTATTGTTTAAAATGTGTATGCATGACTTGGATTGTGATATTTGCTGCCTGTACGCATTTCACCAGAAACAGCTTACGTTATCTATAGTGATCTCGCGTAGTTCTGCATTTTCTTTTCTAAGTCACGATGTCAATTTTCAGGATCCTCAACATGGTCACGCGCCAGGGTGCTGTTTGGGCCAACACACTGGGCTCCGTGGGTAAGTTTGGCATTTAGACAAAACTTCTTACATGTGTGTATGTTGAACTTCTTTCGCACTGTACGTAGCCAACTGTGCTCATCGCAGGTGCGGGGGGGAGGGGGGGAAGGACAACAAACTAAACACAATCCAGATGATTTAAAAGTGCCATCGCTCCAGTGGCTTCATAATATCGGAAGGAAGAGCGTTCCAGATGGCCACAGAAGCTCATTTGAAAGCGCCGCACGATGCGCTACAACTGCACAGGTTTTGCCGCTTCTGCTGCGTGGCTCTACGATGATGTATCTGGCGCGACGTCCGACGTTTCGCTCAAAATTCTGGGAGCTTCTTCACGAACTGAGTTATCGGTTTCCCGTGCCATGTCGGTCAAGCGAATGTCAGTTGCTGAAGAAGCTTCTGGGGCCGCGGAGCGAAATGTCGGACGTCGTGCCAAACAGCCCGAAAACGGGTCCACCATGGGAACCTCATTTGCCAGTAAAAATATGATAATTGTTTTTTTACCCTTCTATCTGGCAACAAAACTGACACCTTTTTACAAGGAGTCATGTTTGCATAGACTGCAATACCTGCAGTCATAATACAAACAAAAGACATAAGGACAGTGCACATTATAATACAAACAAAAGACATAAGGACAGTGCACATTATCAGAGTTATGTCTTTTGTTTGCATTATGACTGCAGGTATTGCGGTCTATGCAAACATGACTCCTTGTAAAAAGGTGTCAGTTTTGTTGCCAGATAGAAGGGTAAAAAACGAATTATCAACGGGTCCACCGTTTCGCTCCTTGTTATATAATTTATAATAAAAGATGAGGGCTGTTAAAGTAGCACAGCACATTTATAACTATCAGGACTTCATTCCGCAAGGGCCATCCGTCAGCTGTCGCGTGACAATGCCACTGGCAGTAGAGACTTGCCACCTGCATTTGAGTTTCTGAAAAAAAATGAATGCAGTGCATTTTTACTATTTCAAGACGGCAATTTCTGCTGAAGTAAGAATTCCGCAGTCTGTGTCTGCATCAAACGTACGTGCAGAGACGCACACAGCTATGACTGATGTGAATGTATACAAGCTTTGACATTTAAAACGTTTTATTGCGACCTTGTTGGTGTACCAGACTTGTATACAGCCCTACAAAATAGGGTTCCTATCCCTTCAAAGTTGCACTTTGCTTCCACGAAACTGGGTTGTGCAACAGCTTTGTCTGGCAAAAATGGCACTCGAGTTATTTTTTAAACTTGTCGTTCAAATCTCAAGCAATTGGTAAACTTGGAAAAAATGTCAACCGTATATTTCCCAGTGATGTATGAAACATCATACATCGCCGTGCTGTGGTCAGGTGGCTCAGCAGGAGAGATTGAGCAATTTTAAATCATGGTTGGGTTTTAACTCAGCCCATCATCCCTTTGGGGTGAGATACAAATAGTACCACTTTGTGGGCAAGTCAATTGCACGTGTCTTTTAGGGAGGCTCATCCGAGCCATGCGTATTGATTTGATTATTGATTCACCCCATGTACAGGGGGAATTTCCACAGTGGCTGATGGCTAAAAGTCAGATGAGCATCGTTCACGCTGCTCATTTTGATCTGGAAATCACTTTTGACGTTTCAGTAACAATTCCTTCCTGTCCCCCGCAGCCCTGATGTACAGTGCTTTTGGGGTGGCGATCGAGTACGGGAGAGGAGCGGAGGATGACCTCAACACGATGGTGGCTGGATCGCTCACGGGCATGCTTTACAAGTCCACCAGTAAGTCCATATTTGCACCAACAACAACAAAAACATTGTAATGATTTTTTTTTTTTATGGCGTCGTTCGTGAAAATTGTATCTCACAATCGCCGAGAAACCACAGACCAAGCTGGAAAACCTGCCAGGCGGTAAACCGGTGGCAACAACTGCTCTGCAGTTCTGTATATATGAAGATGTTTTCAGACACTTGGTGGATGTCTGTATACGTTTTAGGAAACCGGTTCCTCCACTCATGCAAGGGGGAAACACTCTATCCCATACAGAAGGGACAGGTGATAGTAGTGCACACTTTGCCGCATTGCATTCTGCTGGCGAGCCAGGGCATGGCACCTCCTCGATGCCCACGGGAAGGGAGTTTTGAAACATTTGTCATTTGTGCGGTGGTCCAACAACCCCCTCGCCTCCGCAGTGCTAGATTACAGGCCACGTGCATAGCCACCACCACCGCCAAAGCTGCACCAGTGCAGGGATTGGGTCATCTGTTCGCAGAGAAAAAAAACATGTTTTTCTGGCGTGTTACAAATTCCTCTTGCGCTCTATTGGTCATGCAGCAAGACAAAGAACATGTGTGCGGAATCCCCGCGGCCGGCACAGCGCCAGGTGAGAGCGCCATTGAATGAATCGACACTGGTCCCGGAGTCGCGTTGGCAGGCTTTGTTGACCAATCGCGACACGCCGTCTTTCTGCCTTTGGGCCCCCCCTCCCACCCGTCAACTGTCATTACGAGGGATGTGTTCCCGACTTTCGGATGAATACGAAAACTCTGGTCTAAATTCCAAATTTCTGACGTTTCTTTGGGAAAGAGAAGATCGTTTGGGATTGATGCGAAATTGTGACACCACTGGAGGCGATGTGACGCGAATGATGTCACGACTGTGATTTTCCCGTCATATCTGGCGTCGCTTGGGATCGGGTTGACGTCACTGTTGTCAGCACTTCAAATTTAAACATAGGTCCATAATTTTCCTTAAATATCTGAATTGTTTAAATCCAAAACCAGAATTGAAATCGGAATTTTTTAAAGTCCAACCCCTCGTTTATACATGTTAGCTTTCGCAGTTGGGCTGAATGGGGGAAAAAAATAGTTTATCCTTCAGGCGGTGAGTGATTGGTGTGAGGCCATGAACTCAATGCACTTGAGGAACTCTGTTGTTTTTCCAGGGGCTGAAATGATTCATAGCAAGGCCCTCAGCTAAGCTCATTGTTCTGACTTGAACAATTTGCCTTGAGCCACCTAACCACGTGAACTGGTTTAAAATCTGGCACACTTTCAGTTAATGGTGAGAAAATACCCAAGTCCTGTGTTTTAAGTTTTTAAACACAGGCCCTCTGCATTAGTTCACCGATTTCAACCTCTGCCCCAGCACTTACTGACGTGCTGGTGGTATCGTCGGTAAACCTTTGGCCCCGCTCTTGAAACTGCTGAGTTGGCAAAAACATAAAATCCCCAGCAGCTGATGGAGCAGACTGACCTTTACGACAGTTTTCGCGGACATACTTTAGGGCTTAATGCTTATTGCCATTTTTAATACCAAGGTTGAAACTTTTTTGTTTGTTTCCCACCATGTACATCCCTTTGTCAATCCACTGCTGGATGAGGATCCCTCCCCATGCGGTACAGGTTGTTGTGGCGGAGTTGTTTTTATTGTTCGTCGCCCTGGTCAGTGCGAGTTTGTGAAGGCGGGGAGGAGACACGGGAGCGCAGTGGATTTTGCTCCACTGGTTTCTGTTTCTCGCATCACGCCCCCCCCCTTCCCTGCCCCCCACCAGCCTCTCACATCCCTTGGTGATCGTTCATGCAAGCATTAGCCACGCTCAGAGTTGTATGTTGAACTTCTTTCGCACCGTACGTAGCCAACCATGCTAATCGGAGGTGCGGGGTTAGGACAAAGAAATAAAACACAAAAAGCAGTTCTAAAGAAATTAGCTTTCAATCTAGATTTAAAAGTGCATAGCTCCAGTGGCTCCCTAATATCGGAAGAGCATTCCAGACGGCTGCAGAAGTGCATCTGAAAGCACGCAATGCAGTGACCGTCTTCGAGGGTTAGCCAAAAGCCGCTGCGAGGATGACCGGAGTTTGCGTGATGGTTTATGCTCCTTGATGCCATCAGCAAGGTATTGTGGTTCATTTGTGGCAAGTACTTTGTACTTTGTGTGTAATGAGTGCGAGCTTATAATGTATTCGTTTGGCAACCTGAAGCCAATGCAGCTCGGTAAGCACTGGACGGACACGGTCCGATCTTGCAAAGTTGCTTCACCGCATCGCACACTTGCAGATGCCCTTCTGTGGCCTTCTGGAATGTTCTTCTTTACACTGTTCGGAAGCCACAGGCACTATGCACTTTCAAATCTCGATTGAAATCTAATTTCTTAACTTTTTTTTTGTTTGTTGTCCTTTCCCTGCGCGTCCAGTTGGCAATGCTGGCTACGTACGGTGCAAACGAAGTTCCACATATATGCATAAGCTTGCGAGGTACAGGCAATTTGGTCAGGGCTCTATTTTCTTTTATGGCATCTGAAAATGCTCACCTTGCAATAAAAAATCCCACTTCAAACCACTTTTTACCAAAACATTGTGAAGGGCGGGTGGTATTGTTTTATTGTGGCCGAGTTATTCATTTGCAGGGATGCTCCTAGGAGCTACAAGTCCGCCAGTAAAAACCTTATCTTCGGTTGGATGCGGTCATCGTGCCACTTGCAATGTCAGTTTTAAAATGATTCGCAAAATCTTTACAGGGGATCTATGGTCACGTCCTCAACCAGTTTATCAACTCCAGTCCTCGTGACCCACTCCCACTGCGCAGCTTTCTGTGATTAACGATCATCAGGGAGGTGCATTGGCTGAATTTGTATCTAAACAGAACGATCGGAAAGTTGAAATGTGGGTTGTGGCAGTGGATGGAGAGATTGGTAAAATTCTAGAGCAGGTTCAGGACGACCCAGACAAAATGTAAATTTGTACATTTGGCACATCAGATGTGAAAGATTGAAGGATTTTGGTAGACTTAAAAAACCAAAAGACTACAACTGTTGCTTAGCCACTCAAAAGTTACCTGTATAATGAAATCAAAACTCACGGTGGGGGGACAGGATGGGACTTACAAAAAGGTGGAGCGTGTGTGCGTGTCAGCGGCATATGCAAGTTGAGTAACAGACCTAAATCCACTACTCCTGCTGGAACTCGGCCTGGTCCCCCCCCCCCCCACACTCGCACTGCTTTCAAGGTCTTTTGAAAACTTTCAACCCAGTGCCTTTGCGGACACTGGCGATCGCTTCCCTTGCCCCGGTCCCTCCCGCACCACAATTCTGCACTGCGAGACGTTTGTTACGGGCGCTCTACAATCGTAAAGTTGTTTGTGTGTTTATTCATCATCATCATTGCCTTGCAGGTGGGCTCAGAGGTGTTGCGAAAGGTGGAGTGGCTGGGTTAACCCTGTCTGGTCTCTATGCCCTCTACAACAACTGGGACCGGATAAAGAGCTCCATGCGGAGACAATCCATCTGACTCCGACACGCACATCTTGTGTACATACGCAAAAGCACCAAGGCTGTCGATTATTTAACAATGTTTGTCTTGTGCTGGAAGATGTTTTTTTTTTATTTTCTCCCCTTGGCATTGGGACAAGTTTCGATTTTGTATAACCTCATCTGTTTGCAAACTATAAGTGATGGTCAACTTAACCTCTAATCACAATTACATTCTCCCCCCCCTCCAATATTTTGAATGTTTGTAGAGTTAATTGGCCAAAACAAAATGTCTCCATGTAAAGGAAGTGTCATTGTAAAATAAAACAGAGGTACACGACAAAGGGTGCTTTCATGTGAATTTATTACGATAAAATCTGCATTTTTATCGAAATGTTACATTGCATTAATTGCACTGAGTAAAGTATAATGCTTACCCTTAGCTCCTCAGGTATTAATCATATAAGCAAATATTTCAGGAGATTAAAGGTGTCACTTTAAAATAGGTTAGTGGTGCAGTAATATCATTAAAGTTATACCAAAGTATCATTTAATGGGCTCGGTCGTTCAAAAACGATTTTAGCAAGATGTTCATCACAATGAAATTTCCAAAATATCCCACGTCACAAACCATCATGAAAATGACTGGTTTTTAATGTGCAATAATGTATATTAGCAATTGCAACTGTAAAATCAATTCAAAGCAAGAACTTTCTGTTAGAAAGATTCCTGCAGAATTCGGGCATTGTAAAAGCCGTTTCATAATTAGGTTTCATAGTGTTTTAGCCCACGAGCTATAAGTGCATGAACGAATGCTGTCTCATTCGGCTTGAGGCGTTGACGGATACACCACCTTGAAAATTAAATCGGGAACCTATATAAAAAAAAGGTTAACAATGCCCATTAGGAGTTAAGCACCATCAACATCTATGATGGCCATCAATTTTCATGTTTTGTTTCTAAACGATTAAGGTTTTCATAAGAGGCCATTGGCAAGAAAGTGCTGTTCTTGGTAGAAATTCACATCTGTGAACAAACAAAATGCTTGGGTCAAGACAACACGCACACGTCCAACTTTTCACACCAGTGTCTACAAAGAGTTGTTTAACATAATAATAAAAAACAATAATTGCATCTGTTCGGTAAAACATGATCATTTTATACACATGCAAACGCTCGGACCGTTTAAGAAATGAGATTTCATGTCGTAAGGCTCCAATTAAAATAGAAGATGATAAAATACAAACCTGAGAGTAGAGAAGCCATTTTTTGTACGGAGGTTCATCCACGGTGTTCATCTTTGAGAAGACGTTACAAAACGTGTGCATTTCTTTCTCTTCCTAAAACACAGCAAGACAAATTCAGCGTTAGAACAACGCAAGATCATGTACATATGCTTCTATCATTCGGTACTTTCTTTGGAGAAACATTCTTATCATTGACACGGAAACATAGCTCTCCGTTGAGGTTTTTTTGGCTTAATTGCGTGTCGTTTTGGCACAACGTCCGAAATTTCGCTCCGCGTGCTGGGAAGAGTCACAGCTTGCGACGCTCAGAGAAACGTCGGGCGTGCCGAACAACCCGCGATAAGAAAAACAACGGCACGCGTACGCGGTAGCAGAAACAAGCAGCGACCAGGCCCTTACGTAGGAGCGCTTCTTTAGAAGCCACTTGTCCGTGTCCTGGCGAAGGTGATCAATCGCTGGGGAGCTACCAACGCCGCCGCCGCCGCCGCTGCTGCTGTTGTAAGAGCTGCACTCTCGCGCGAGGATCCACTTGGCGTGGTCGCACGGCCCACCGTGCGGCAGCTCCACACACTTGAACCCCGGCGGCAGCGCCACCGCCGCCACATCCCTGGCTGCACACTGCGTGGCCAGCAGCCAGTTTGTGATGGAGGCGGTCATGGCCTTCTCCATCCCCCGGCTGAGTTGCGGCTTGAGAGAGGAGTGCACTTCCTGGGCGAGGCGCGGCTGGCGTGGGTGAAGCCACTGCTCTTTCAGGTCATCCTTCCCTCCCTCCTTGAGCACAGCGGGACCTGGAGGCTGCTCGCTCTGCGACTTCTTCTCCGAGATATTCAACTCAGCCATGGACTTCTCCACCCCGTGGCGCTCATCTCTGGCTTTTTCGCCGTGCGGTGCGACGACGACGACGAGACTGCCGTTTTTGTCGCGGCCCTCCTGTCCCAGCAGCCACTTGTTCTGGGCCTCACGCTTGCAGCTTCCCTCGCACACGCACTCCGCGAAGCTGGCACAGGGCTCGTTGGCCTTGCACGCCTTGCGCACGCTCAGCTCCGGGGCGGGGCGGGCACAGGCGAGCCACTCTTGCTGCTGCTTCTGCTGTTGCTGCCCTCCGAACTTCTCCCCGTGGAAACCTTCCGCGGGCTGGATGCGAGGGGCCGCCTGCTGCAGCAGCCAGCTCTGATAGGGCAGGCGCTCATCCTCTGCGGCCTTGTCGGCCATGCACCAAAGGCTCGCCAGGTTTTCGATCTCCACGGGCTTGGGTGCGATGGGCATACCGGTGCAGCAACCGGAACAGGGGTCTGGCTGAGGCTTCCGCAGCCAATCCTCGAAGGCATAAGTGGCCGTGAATGGCTTCAACACTGCCTCCCAGCTCTTGCGAGTGGCCTCGTCGATGGGGGTGTGGTGGATGCCGGCGGACTTGTGTTGGGAAGGCTTCAGCAGCCACGTGTTGATATCCGACCCCTTGCAGAAGGCCGAAAGCTCCACCATCTCGTCATTTTCTCCTTCGTTGTCAGTGATTATATCGTCTTCAGACAGGGCGTCCAATATTTCAAAGGTCGATGAGGTGGACATGGTGCGTGTGTGGTTTGCGTGAATGTTTGGGGCCTGGTCTTGTATCTTCAGCATGTAGTTTTTCACCTCTTTTTCAGCAGGGGTCGATCTGTATGTTGTACTCTGCACAGAAAAAGTTACATTTGTTAACTAAAACGATGATCCGTAATAATAAAATCACATATCAGAACAGGGGTGAGGATCCTACAGCCTGTAACTTCGTTTCATCGAGTCCACGGCCACATGAGGACTACCACGTCGAAACAAAGCAGAAAACAACATCAATCGGTCAATGCAAGCATCTTAGCTCTTATCCACAAAACAGGTTTCCCTCGCTTTATATACGATGTATGTGAAACTTCTAAATCTCACCGTACGTAGCCAACCGTGATAAATCGGAGATGAGTTTCAAAGAAAAGGGACGCATAAATCGAAACCGCACGACACAGCTGCCTGCTGAGTAGTGCACACAGTGGAGTGCGCACAATGCTGTCCCACATCCAACCGCATAGCCGCAGGAGTGCGTTTAAACCGCATCGTGTTGCAAAAATCGCTCAAACCGAAACTGCATAAAAGCGAGGGAGATCTGTAAAATCGGGAACTAGAAGGGAATATTTTCTGCCTGCCAACAGTCTAATTTAGCACGCTCAGTCACCTGGTTAAGGGTGTGCCATAATTTTATGAGGACAAAACTATGGTGCATGATGATGATAAATACATGGAAACATTTGAGAAAGTTGTGTTTACAGTATTGTGTGTTAAGATGAAAGAAGAACACCAAGCCCTTTTACCCAAAATTTCAATGAAGCGTCATCCATTTACTAAAGTTAATAACATTGCAACAACAAAAAAAGGTCCGTGTAGATGTGCAATTACCTGCCAAAAACGTATTTGAAAGTCCTAGTCACCCTTCGGTAAGGAAGCGGCCCCCCCCCTACCCCTGTGATAACAGCGATTCCGTGTGTCGCAGCACCACGTGACCCTGAAGTTACAAACCCGTGTGACATTTTTCCACGTCTAACATTGTACAATTTTATCAACGGCACCTTGGCTTTGGCACGTGTGCGTAATTACTCACCTTGTTGGTTTCTTCCATAGTGGCACTTCCTTTGAACAGCCAGTCATTCATGTCCTTGCTTGGGGAGTGGAATGTAGTCGTGGGGGGCAGCGCAGCCGCGCTGGAGGTGGCTTTCAGAAGCCAATCGTTGGGAGTCTCATTGCGGATTGAAGACTTCTGTGAACGCATCAAAAGTGTCGTAGCAGTGCGTGTGTATTAGTGCATTTATCGCCGCAAAATGGCGTTGACGTTCCCTGTGAACATGCAACATTTCTCCTGCACAGTATCCATGCTGCAGCCTGTGCTCCCCCTTTACTTCCATGCCCCCCCACTCATCCACTGTTGGCATAGACTCGGCCCCCGTCTAAATTGTAGAGCAACAAACAACAATTTTAAATAATTTTACCTGCAGTGCAGAAGGCTCCTTGAAATGTGCAACAGAAGAAAGCTGCTCCAGTATGGGACAGGCACTGTAGCGGCTGGTGGGGTACTCTCCCTGGTGAATCAAAGAGAAAACGTTAAGGTGCAGCCCTGCAATTCCTTGCTCACACCCCACTGAAGGCGATTTTAGCCTTCTCTTCCACAATGGCCAGATGTCTCGAATGAGGTGGGAGTCCCCACACTTTACCCCTACCCCACTACAGCAGCAGATCCACTGTGGCATACCCATGTGTACTGTTGGACCAAAAACCGCAATTACAATTTTGCAACCTGGATTTAGAATGACCTCTGAACCACAGGCGTTTTATTTTATGACCTATAATACCCCTCTCCCCAGCAAAGTAAAGTTTGTTTAATTTACACTGGGTAATGTATGTTCATACCTTAATAATGGCCAGCGATGTGCTTGAATAATGTTTTGAAACAATGTATGTACCTGCTATTAACACATGGATCAGATGACATGGGACTGACAACTGACATTTAAAACATGTTCCAAAACTGCAAAGAAGAATGCAGAGGTGCATATTTGGAGTTGCAATGCGACAGAAAGAGCCACACCACATGGAGCAGGTCACATATGCAGGTTAAAAACATTATATATTTGGCACTTAAGAAAAGCGACCTTGGACTCGTTGCTATGAAGAATAACAGCCACTGGCTGAGACCAACGATGCAGTGGCAGTCAAAGGAGGGAATGTGCCCGAGGCAACGTCCACGACAGGAATTGCAGCAATGGAACTGTCTCAAGTGCAGCAGGTAAACGCATTGCCCTGTGAGACGGTGATGGATGTCAGCGACTTGGTGGAAGCCTTCATTCGGCAGTGGATAGTCCAGGTTTATTTTAATTGACTAAGAAACTCAAGACATCAGGATGGGTCTCATTTCCCCCCCCCCCCCCCCCCCCCCGAGTAACCTGGGGCACCAAAATGACAAAATCAACAGCAAATAAAAATTATTCACACCTGTGTGACGATGTTCCCAAAAGTCGTGATAGCCTTTCTCAAGGCCGCAGCATCGGCTACAAAACCTATGGCATCTGTCTCCTCGGCAT